TGTATCTTGCCTTCCCCAGCTTTTAGAAACTGCCTGCATTTCTTGGCTCATGGCTCCTTCCAAACTAGCAGCCTAGCATCTTCAAATCTTTCTCTCTCTCTGACCTCTGCTTCTGTTGCCACATTTCCTTCTCTGACTCTGCCACCCCTGCCTCCCTCTTGTAAGGACTCTTGTGACTAGGATGGATTCATCTGGATAATCCAGGATAATCTCCCTATCTCAGGATTCCTTGATTTAATCGCATCTACAAAGTTCCTTTTGCCAGGTAAGGTAATATATTCACGGGTTCTGGGGATTAGGACATGGCTGTCTTTGGGGAAGGAGGTGTTATTCTGCCTACCACAGCTTCTATCCAGCCACTCCATGCCGTACTTCTCCTTACCTCTGCAGAGCAAAATGCAGGCTGAAGGGCATCTCTCAAGCTTGTCCACCAGCCATGATATTGTAGCAACGAAGAATATAGGCTTCAGATTCTGAGTATCAGGTTCACGTCATTTTTCGTTGCTGTTGAGTGAATGAATAGAACAGAATGAATGTTCTCTTTAGAGTAGTCACTCATACCTCCTGACTTTATTCCAAGTTATTATGAATGAATATGGTTTTAGCCTATGTGTTAATTTTTTAATTTCCCAATAATGAGCCTATTTGCATGTTTAAAAAACCAGTTGAAATGAATGCATTTAATCCAAAAAAATCATATTAAAATTCACAGTGATGGAAACATAGATTGGGAGCAATGAGAGAATTGGAACATAAAGGAAGATGCAGATTATTTGATGTATTCATCACTGCTGATTGGCGGGTAGCAAAAGACAATGAGATGGTGGAGGGTGGAGGAGTGAGGGGTGAGGGGCTGCTGAACTAGAGTTGCCCATAGAGACTTTTCCAGGTCTGTATGAGCTCTTTAGGCTTCCATTATTCAAGTTTGTGGTAAATAGATGGATTATGAAACAACTTGGTCCATTACCCTTAATAAAAAGTGTAACTGAATGATATTGTTGTTATTTAAGATGCTGCCCATTTGATAATAGTTACCTTTGGAGACACCTTTGAAGTCTCTCTTTGTTTATTGTTTGATAACCTTCTCTCCTAGTAAAATTGGTTTTTCAGCCATGTGCTAAGGATGGGTTTAAGAACCAATTAGCTCTGAAGCCAATATTACCTCCTTTTTGAAATGACTCTTCCAAGGCCTGACCAGTGCGGCTGCACTGCTTTTAAGAAAGCGCCATAACCTTTTCTTTTTCTGGGATTTGGCTGTAGCTTCTACTGAGCCATCAGCTGCTACAAGAGCTAAAGTCTTGGAAGAAAATAACTCCATAAATTCAAGTCATTACAAATAAACCAAGCTTTTTCTCTCTTTTGGCTAATAATTCCAAATTTGCCAAAGAAGTTAAAAAATCTAAGAAGTTAAGAATCACAACCTGTGATATATAATGAACTGAGAGAAATTTAAAACATCACACGTAACTTTTTATCGTACTAAGTGTCATTTGTGAACAGTTTTCAAAACTATGTATTACTTGATTGCGTTGGAACTGTTTTAGTTGGGAGAAGAAAATGAAGACTCAAGAAAGATGTAAACTGGCCAGGTTCTATTTTGCCAGATTTGGGAATGTGTTTTATTTATTTTTAAGATAAAATATCACTTCCAAAATGTCAAAACTTGAACATCTTCTTTCTTCTCCCACCAAACCTAATTCCCTTCTGCTATTCCTCATCTTGGTGATTAGTGTACCGTCCTCCCAGTTGCTCAAGCTAGAAACGTGAAAGTCCGCCTAGATTACTCCTCCCCCCCCCCCCCCCCCCCCCCCC